GTTCCATGCAGCATAGATCACACTGTTTCCAGGTTTAGCCAAGGTTATAAGATGCCGTTTAAATCAAGCATCATTATTTGACAACTGCTGCACCTATTTAGTCTTATCTATTTTAACAAGCTTTCTGTCCCAAAAAAACCCACCAACCAAAGTATGCCGTTTGGTTAGCTTACCGCTGATTCACAATTCCTCAAGGGATTCAAATCTGAATAGGCTAGTCATATATAAAAGAACCTGAGGTTACTATACACTCACTTTCAAATGACTTACTTATATATCTAACCTTAATCCAAGAATGGATTGTATCTGAATATTGTGATTTCATAGCATTTCATGAAGTACAGCCATTAAATTGCGCACCACAAGGCACACTGGAAAACCAGGCAATGGTTAAACCAGCTTTCTCTGACTTGTTATACTACGGGTCAATGTCGGGTCAATCTAAGCCCACAAATGACCATCTTTAGTACACACTCAACTATTTCAACCAAGCAAACGCACTTACTGACAGATGCTTTTTGGACAGAGTATTTGATTGTTATTGGCGAAATAAAGAAACATATATTCTCGTAAAATGGCCCTTTAAAAGCTAAATCTGTTTAGGTGCACAAAGTTAAAACTGTACTGACATTGCTTCCTTTAGTGGTGAGGAAACAACAATTGTATTGCCGGAGAAAGCATGCACACACATGGGAATATGGATAAAACTGACTTGTGTGAGAAATCGGCTAGAATGAAAACGCCTCTATTTTGCATAAATTAGACCATCAAAGACCCTAATTGCTTACCAATACCATTTTTTGAAAATTAGATGAGCCTACACTGCTCGTTGGCGAAAATGGCAGATGTTTCGAAATCCTTTGTATAATGAAAAAAGATGCGCAGACGCTTTAGGAAGTTTCCTAACAGCCTGCTGGTCGGTCTGTGGGCTTACCAAGGATGACCTTATTTACAAAACAATTAACTGATTCGGAAAATAAGCAAGGTTGAAATAACATACTTTGGATTCGATCAAGATCAGCAAAATCAAACTGATATTGGGGCGATTCCAACACGATACAACTTTACCTTCAAACCATTGCACTTAAATACTCTTTATTCTTAGTGGCGGCGCGACACCAAGCCAGACTACTTTAGGAACGAGGTCGGAATTAAGGGCGAAGGGTTAGTGATCACAGAAACCGTCACCCCCCAAAAATACTGGCTCATCAACTACGAAGGCTATTTGAAGACGAGACGGGAACAAGGGCTAAAACAATTGAATGAACAAGTTAGAATGTATTCATGCATTATTCCCAGGGCTACCAGTCACATTAACATGTCAGAACATCACATGCATTGCTTTTCCGAATATACGTTACGATCAGAGTATGGCACAGAAACAAAACTACGCAACAAACTGTCCACAAAATAAGCCATGAACACAACGAATCAACATTTCAATCAAGTGAAACATTAAATCGTTTGGCACGCGTATCCATAAATCACTTGTCCAAAAAATCGATTTTAAAGTCCGCAGACAGGTCTGCAGCCACATAAATGAACACGACGATTACTCACAAACACTGACACTTCATAACCTCAATGAACTACATCATTAAAAAAGACAAACCATAGCATGATAGGCCAATGTGTGCAATCGGAGGAATAAAATGAGAGACTGGCTAAATTGTGATGAAGGCGACTAAATGAATCATACTTGCGTGTTCTTGAATGAGGGTGTAGCATTAACTACCAAAAGAGGTAAAAATGATGAATCTTGAAAACATCGATTAAACAGCAGTTAGTGATACTTTTCTAAGAGCAAGATCCTGGCAACAACAACCAACTGTAGGGGGGACAGTGAAGGCGATAGGAGTGTGTATGGACGTAAACGGAGACGAAGCGTTAATGTGTGGTTCATTTAAAATAAATGAAAAGACAAAAGTGCCTTTACTGCCACGGCAAAGCGTAAAACTACAAAGCATTGACTTTTTAAGATTTTACAACAGTTAAAGTAAAATGAGTAAAAATGCCAAGACTTGCAGTAAGACCATTAAATGAGGACCCACAAGTAATGACCACTGATGCAAAACAAGTAAAATTAGATAAATCAGTGCATTTCAATATACGTTAAGGGACGTTAAAATGTTCTGGACTAAAATGTTATGAAATGGACCGAATGTTTGGACTAAAATGTTATGGCATTTCATACAATCTAGCCTTCAGTGAAAGGGCTTATAGTTAAGCATCACCAGGAGTCTGATCTAATGGCAGTGTGCACGTTATGTATGTTGCGTCGGATACTTCCGAATGTGGCAACGACAAATTCGACAATCGCGCGTGCGTATGAGTAACGTAGTCATTGGCGAAACTGCTGAGTGAAGCCGTCGTCCGAGAGTGTTGCAGTCAAGAGTCGCGGCTGTAACTAAAACGTAGATTACCACCACCTTGCCTATGTTGGCAGCCACACAATCAGATAATTGAATGCCTGCTGCGCATGACAAGGCCGCAAAGAGCCTGACATTTCATGATTCCCGCAAGTCGCTTACCAATTCAAGAAGTAGAGCATGCACGGTAGACCCTTAACTTACTTTAATCGCCATATTCGTGAATAATACTGAATTTTGGGACCCCTTACAAGGCATGTTAAATGCTTCGAATAAGCTAATCCTTACAGGAACATGGTTTAAAAGAGCGTGGATGATACTCGTCTGTGAATCACTCTGTGGTCAAATGGCCAGTCTTCTGGTCTCACAGGGCCCTTCTAGTGAAAGAGGAAGAAAGTATTTTAACTGATAATGACCACATTCACATTGGATTGATATTGAACACCAGGATAAAGTGTGTAGCTTCTGAAATGCCATCCAATTTAAAAGAGAAACTGTCTAGATTACTCTTTTATAGCAAATGTCTTGTCCAGGCCATACCTCTTCTCCAATTCCGGTAAAGAGAAGTTTAGAGAAAAAAAGCAAGTTCATGTACCTAAGTAAGATAGACACATTCGAGTCCTCTGACACGAGGGGGGCAGAAACATTTATTGGGCTGTTGGTTGCCATCAGATAAACAGATTACCGTGTCAACGCTCTGCTATTAATATCAGATGATTAAACGAGTTTGCAAGGCCCAAAAACGAGGATGAAAAGATTGTTGTCGGACTAATCAGGATATTGCTGTTGCCTGGCTGGATGCTTTTTCACTGTTGTTTCCAATGCCCTGCCATTTTGAAACTACTGCCATTAATAACATTCATTATTTATGTCTGTTGTAATTTTTATCAAATCTTGCATATGCTTGGCAAAGTACAATTTCCTTGTCACTGTTTGGCCGCTGTACCTGCCTGTATCCTTTGCAGAGTCGCAGCGACATGATTTTCTGAGCCTCGCATAACACATGGTGGCTGCTCTATACCTAAGCCTTAGAGTCAAGAATTATCTATTAAATAAGCTTTATTGACTTATCACGAGGCAGAATCTACGTAAGGTGCTCTCTAAATATGTCGACAACGCTGGCTGAGCCTCGATTTCACATTCGACCCTGTCTCTGGATGGCTGCTAATCTTTATCGCAGGTCACTTAAATACACAAAGGAATATCTGAGTTTGGTGAGATGTAAAAATTCGTCGCCGTCACTCTGTCACGATGTTAAATACCCAAGCCATAGTATGAGGAAATTTGTACAATAGGAGAGGCTTTGCTGAATAACCACAAGCCAGGTTCACACATCAGACGCCGTCGATCCGAATCAACCGCGCTGACTGCACCATTCATTATCAGCCGCTTCTGTAAGTATCTGTCTCTGTTGGCTATATATCTTCCTAGTATGCCATTAGGACCCAATAAGTCAAAGGATTTGCTGAGGCCGGTGTTGTCCAATATGTCTGCGCCCTTATACGTCATTGCTGTAGAATATCCTAGCCTTAATATGAAGAAGACTGTTACAACAGAACAGGCTTTATTGACCAATCACTAGCCAGAGCCACACGTCAGGCGCCGTCCAACCCAGTCCGCCACGCCACTCATTATATATCGCACCTCAATCGTGTCCTTCCATGGTTGACTGCTTATCTTCCTCGCATGCCAGTGGAACCCAGAGTGACAGGGGATTGGCTGAGGCCAGGTTGTCCAATATGTCTGCGCCCTGATCTGTCACCACACTGCCTCCAGCTCAGCTTCAGGCTTGCTTCACCGCACTGTTCATTATTGTAAAAATATCCAGTTCGACACTCCCCGTACCCCACATCTGGCAGGATAGTGGCCCATAAGAACAGTTGACGAGGGACTTTGGTCTTGTAGACTTGCAGGAAGGACTCTTCATCCATCGTAGGTCCATTCGCCGTTGCAGTCCACATGGCTTCTACTGCCCATTTAGTCGTCGTCTCTGAGTTGCCAATGCCTCTTCAGATGCAGTAGTCCTAATCCCGGGCAATGTCTGTGGATCCAGTGTATGGGACATCGGATGACCGCCATGACAACTTCAGCTGGCATTTAAGGGTCTTTGCCTCTGTTGACCATTTTGGGATAAGGGCTGGGGTCCGATTCGCGTTATTCGAACGCATCCGCCCCCACCTATGTAGACCAATCAGGAGCCAGAGCCACGCGTCAGGTGCCTTCCATCCGAGTCCACGATGCTGGATACGCTGCTCATTATATATTGCACCTCAGTCGTGTCCTTCTCTGGTTAGCTACCCATCTTCCTCGCATGCCATTGGAAGACAGACAGACACAGGATTGGCTGAAGCCAGGTGGTACAATGTCTGCGCCTTGATCCGTCGTCACACCACACTGTAGAATACCCGAGCCCTAATAAGTAAAAGACCGGTACAACAGAACAGGCTTTATTGACCAATCAGAAGCCAGAGCCACGCGTCAGGCGCCTTCCATCCGAGTCCGCCACGCTGGCCACGCCGCTCATTATACACTGCACCTCATCCATGTCCTCCTCTGGTTGGCTGCTTACCTTCCTCGCATGCCATTGGAACGCAGAGAGAAACAGGATTGGCTGAGGCCAGGTGGTCCAATATGTCTGCGACCAAATCCGACGCCACAACAGCACTTTTCACTACATCGGAAACCCCATCTTACCGTCAATCAACCATGGTGGGTTATTTGTCGTGGTGATTGCCTACATCGTTAATATTTTGCTTCGTATTTCGAGGCCTTAATTCTGTACGGGTGAAATTACTGATCGAAATGGATAAAGCATTTTCGCTTGCTGAAGAGGCTTTAGAGGCTGGCGAGGTTCCAGTTGGTTGTGCATTTGTGTATGATAACGAGGTAATCGCGGCCGGTAGAAATGAGGTAAATGAAATTTTTTTGGAGTTTAAGTGAAAAAGACAAATGCAAGTGGTGACGCAACACAGCATGCCGAAATCGTTGCGATCAGGAGATTGGAAAGTTGGTGTGAAAGGAATGCGTTGGATTTAAGAGAGGTCCTACCAGAGTCGGTTCTTTTCGTTACCGTCGAGCCATGCATAATGTGCGCTGCTGCCATCCGGTTTTGTTTACCAGCTCATCCGAAGTGGTAGTTTTATTCATTTTCATTTCCTTTTTTATTTTTCTAGTGTGATCTATTCTTCGCATAACGACCGCTTTGGAGGATGTGGATCGGTTTTAAGTGTTGCTACTGAAGATTCTTCTCGCGCTCCGTTAATTTGCAAATATGATGATCAGTCGGATCAATCACTTAAACTACTTAAAAGCTTCTTCAATCAGGAAAATATGAACGCACCCGAAAATAAAAGAATAAAGAAGATGTCTCATATTAAATGAATTTACTGTTTACTCCACTCTTCTGATTGTCCTTATACCATATGTCCACTCTCCTCCTCTTTTGTTTATATGGCTTTATCTTAATCCTCCGACCTGAGTGCTGAGCATTTTAGTTGGCTATTTTTTATATTTTCGTGATCTGACACCTGTATGTTTTGTTACTAAAATTGCTATTAAACCTTTCTGTAAGACATAATTTTTTTGTAGTCATACTCGTAATCGCTAGTGCTGGACATCGTTAGTACCTCCTCGTCTGACTGCTTTTAAAACATCTTTCAATGTTGAAGCCGAAGATTTCCTCTTTAATGTAATTTACTCAGTTTCTAGAATTTTATTTATTCTGTTGGAATTGTAACCCTCATAAATTATCAGGTGTCGTTTTGAGATGTTATTGAACCAGTCACAGAAGGAGAGTATTTTTTGTTTCCGGGTTTTGGTAGCTCCTGTGGTTTTAATCGTCAAGTCATGTTTTTCCGTTGTCTAGCAGGGTTTTTGAGGTGTCATGTAATACTTTAAGGTATGCCCTTCAAGATCAGGCAGCATGCTCACCGTCGCCACTGGAATTTTCCCTTTAATGGAAGATATTCAAGATTTTAGGAAAGGCAGCATTAACCCTCGTCTTATTTACTACTTCCGTATCTCTCCACTTTTAATCATTTACCTCTAGTACCAAGCCTCATCTACGATATTGGAAAGTGGGTTTGTCGGAACCTTTTTCATGTAAGCTTGTTGCCAGGTCACTCACATTCACGTTGCTGTTGTAGAGGGACGCAAAAGCCTGGGGGGAGCTCACTTTGCGACATCTGAGACGAAGGATAGACGTTCCTAAATAGAGGACTACAAATTCCTGGTACAGGGCTTTGTCTAAGTGTATGGAGTATTGAGAAAATGTCAGATAGCTGGAGCCGGTTTCTGTTTCAGGTTGTTTCGTTGTGGTAACCAACTTTGGAGTTGCCTCAGTGAAATTACATCCCATTGGGCGGTCTGGTTCGTTTTTCTTTGGGTGGTGGTTTTTCCTGCGAACTAGTCATATTGTTAGCTGTGCGTAAATTTTAAGCATACATTTACAGATTTGATTGTGTGCTATTGAGGTAGAAAGTTAAACGCAGAGATGTAAATATTTAAAAATGCTCACATCCTTAATAATGGTTTATGTGGTGATAGCATAGTTGAATCACAGCCATCTAGAATTTGTGGTATTGTGAAATTCTGGTTTAACGGGGTGGCCTTTGATCTTCTTCCAGGTTTTGAGTTGGAGGTTCATTATTCCACTACTATGTTTCACTTTTCGACTAGCAAATAAGTCTGCGTGTGTCTTCCTTGCCTCTATTTTTCTTCCTAAGCGTCGAGTTTTAACCTACAATTAAGTACTTAATGTTATTACTTCGTTAATGGTCGCATTTTTGGGCAACTAGTTTTGCCTCACGTGGCTTTTAGTTTTGAGATTAAATTTCATTTTTACAATCCACTTTCACCTAGTGTAGTACTTTCCTCCTTTGATCAGATCGAGAAGTCAAAATGCTCTAGACATTGGAATAATTAGGGTCACGCAGATCCTCCAAAAGCTAATTTTAGATATAGTGTCAGATATTCTTGCAAGCCAAATTCACACACATTAATACAATATCCTCTGGCAATAGTCGGAAGTCACCTCTCGATACCTAGTAGCTCGCACTCCACTAACACATCTGTACAAACGCTTTTAGTGTTCGTATGTCGATGATCTGTTCTGCTGCAGTATGTTTGATTTACTCTAAACTACCCGAAACGCCCCTGCCAAGTGCATTTATAGGTGGGTTGCGTGATATACTTAAATCTACGAGTTGGTAATAATGTAAGATTTCCCGTTGACATTTGGGCCTTTCGAAAAGACCTCAGTTTCTACCTACAGTTAGATATCGAAATTGTCACCCTGATCTCATGTATCTCTGCATTAGGCAGAATTCCTGGTTTCAATTCAAAAAATTTGCACCCGAAACGCCGTTGAACATACCTTATTTGGCTCTAATGAATTAGGTTTTGCTTAATAAGGTAAAGAGAGTTTTCTGGACGTGAATAGACAATATTGCTTCTCCCACACCTAGGTTGCGCATTGCTTCTTAGGTTTACAGAACAGTCGCCTCGTTATGGGTGTCCAGTAATCTACCTTTAACTTGCATCATCAACAACTGAAAAATCAATGGATCAAACCCACCCTACTTCCAATACCTGGCACTCAATTCAATTTGGGCAATTCTGAACCGAACATGTCTTGTCAAATTGCTTTCGTAGATTTCGGTTAGGGGATATGCATTAATAATTTAAAAGATCGAATTTCTCGGGTGCGTACATATGGCGATAGACCTTTTTAGCTATTCTGCTAACATAAAATGACTCAGTCATTATACAACTCCACATACTATTCCAAACAATCATCCATGATTAACCTGGTTAATTCACGAAAAAAAGGGTTAGTGGCTTGAATTTTAGCAGCAAGGCATCAGCCGTTGTTACTTGCACGGATATAATCACAATCTCTACACTACTATTAAAATAAAGTACCTTTATGAATCGTCGATCTTGGACAGTCGAACAGATTCAGCATTTTCGTACTAATGTGTTTTCGGAGATCGTCATTTAACTTGATGGAATTGGTTTTTTGTCTCCAAACAAGGAGCCCAAATTTAATGCCTACATAATTTATTCATCAATTTGGAAATACAAATCCTTATCTACATATATTTTGTTGACTTATCAAAATGATTGACTTAAAGCATGCCTTCTACATAGTGTATTTGATTTTGTAATTCATTCTTGATAAATGTGCCAGTTTGTCAAAAGTTTTTTGACGGTCTGTGAGATTGTGCGAAATCACAAAGCGAGTTTATGTTAGAGTTCGATTTTATAAAGATCAAATACAAATAAAGATAAAAGTAAACGAAAATGACTTCAACTAATGCATTCTAGCCGTACGGTTTTGCCATGATTAGCAGTGTCGATTTCTCCAATTGTTTGGCTTAGGTCAATTTACTTATCGAGTTGGCGGTCGCGGCTGTGGTGATCGTTTCTGAGCAGGTGAATTCTGTTGAGAAGGTCCTTGTTGTTGCGTTTGAGCCTGCTGGTCTTGTTCTTTTGCAGCACCTTCACTGAATCTATTGGGTCCAAGAGCCTCATAAGAGGAAATCATCTCCCCAAAGTAGTACTTAGCACAAGCAAACGTAACTTTTTTCTTATCTTCTTCGGTGTCCTCTGGTTGTATTGATGCTTGTAGTTTTCTAATAAGTTCCTTTGTCTCCCTGCAATTCATTATCCGCCAACTCTGTTACGACCATGCACGCTGCCCCAGTCCTGACTGATCGATAAACACATGTCTATTTGAACGGTACATAATCACGGGCAGTCATCCCAGAAGATTCTGTACGTGAATTGTTTTATACAACCATGGCTGCCTATTTCCCAAACTCACGAAAACCTCTAGAAAACTTACAACAGGAAATGGACTACTCACGGGGTCGCCCACTAAACTCAAATTTGGATATAAACCTCCCAAATTACGCAATTGACAATGCCATTATTCGGGCGATATCTCGGGATAATTTTAGCTACGTATTGGAATACCTTCGTAAATGCCCCACTAATACAACGAGATATCTGTATGAGGAGATCTATACGTCAAAAAAACCAGTTCAGAAAACCATAACAATATGCAGTCTCCTTTATTATGCCTTTAAAAAGAAATCAATGGAAAGCATTCGCGTTTTAGTGCAAAATGGAGCCAGACCTCTTCAGCCTTCCTATGTGGTGCAGTGGGGTAGTCTTCAGAGCGGGGAGCCAGCAATTGAAATTGTCGAGAAACCGAATGTGGCTTGGCTTGCTGAGCTATTTATAACCGGAGAACTGGAGCTTACTGCACAAGTGTTCAAGCAACTGAAGATGTCTGGGACGGATTTAGGGCTTCCAATAGAGACAAGAGTTCAGAAGCTACAGCAACCTCATCCGAATTCAACCAAAACCACTCAGTTTGTTGATGTGTGGGAGTGCATTGAGAAGGAGGTGGAGAGGATCAGTACGCCAGCGAATTTACCCAACGCTAAAGTCAATTTGAAGAAGATTCACACTGCGTACAATACTGATAAACTTGAGGCTCTATACAAGAAGCCGAAAAAGGGCAAAAAGTCGAAATCTAATACAGCTGCCAGCGAACAATCTTAAACGTAGCCAATAGCGCTTACATTCATTTAGCAATTGAGCGGATTTCGTTTCCAAGCCGCCTCATTCTTGATTTGAGTTTCTCTCTTATGAGAATCGTTGGTTATTTATATCCTTTCGTGAGCTATGATTTGGGGAAAATGGCTGAACAAAAGCCCTAGAACACGAAAATAACTCCAACACCACCAGTATCGTAACGTCTGCCTAATTTTTCCTCCGTTCTTAACATGCTCAATTGCAATAAAAATTGTTACAATCAAGATTTTTATACTTAAAATGCTACCCTAGAAATTACGTTTACCGAAATTCGCCACTTTCAGTAATGCTTCCCTCGACCCTGCTGACTTATAAATTGTAATCGCACCCCTTCAAAATGTTATGCTGAAGCTCTCCAGCTTCACTTTGTAAGTGTGCCCCTCATGTTCGTGCGTGGCCCGACCGCTAGTCGTCCTTACGCTGTAGCTTAATAAAGACTACTTCTACAAAACCCCTCCTCTTTCGCCATCGAAGTTATAAATTTCGGTGGCCTCTGAGCAAGATTTCTAAATCCTACTTCTATTCAGTAGTTACCCAAGACGATATTACGTGACCAAGCTCTTCGAGTCTTTACTCAGTGTCAACTTTAAATTTTCCCAAAAATGAGGTTGGATAAAACGGCATTCGTCACAACCGTCCTACTAGTCCGAAATCTCCGTCGTTGACTGCCTACAAACGAGTATGAGCGAGGCCTATCCACGAGTTGGTCCAATGTCAGTAGTGATTACAGTTGACAGTCTAAAGCAGATAAACTGCCCTATTCTCGATTAACAATTTCGCCTATCAACTTGGGATTTTATGTGCTGTTAATTAGCAATGTTGTGAGGTAGTGCAAGAAATCCACTACACTTCCCACACAGCTCCCGATACCCAGTGCGTTTTAGGTAGATAAAATCATAAAAAAGTTTTATTTTTTAGAACAAATTTACACTGAATACGTGATCCCCTAGAAACGGCGACCGCCACCGCGTCTAAATCTCTTGGACCAGCGTCCTGCCGGGACTTGAGGGAATTGCTGCCTGACGTTTCGCTTAGCCGTAGTGGAAAGCGAAGCTGACGTCAACACCGGCATTGATCGTTTTAATTCCGGTTTGGAATTTATCCAAGAAGGCGTGACTTTACCCAATACCCCAGAGTCTATTCGGTTACGAAGAAGACATCGCGCCATAATCTCAACGTTCTCGAGGGCCTAAAAAGAGAACGACATTCCCGTCTGGGATTTGACCGAGTTTTAGAATAACTATTGAAATTCCTGGCTGGACGACTGAATTGGTAAATGGTCTTGAAGGCAGGCGTATCGACGATACAGTATAGATTAAGCATTATTTGCCACGAACTTCAGACCCTGAAAAGACGATACTGACATACGGCGATAATTAAAACAACATAAACTAAAGTGACGGGAACTGACAAAGAATCAAATTGAGGGAGTGAATAGCTGCCAGACTGACAAAACTAGGCAGGTATGGGTGGTGCAACTCAGAGATTAAAATAGACTTTCTTGAAACTTAGTTTCCACGATGAGCAACATAAAGACGGAAGGTCTACGAGAAAGGGAAATGGGAACAGGTTAGGAGTAATATGCGAGGAAACGTACGTACACTTCTGACCACCAGAGAGGTTACGTCGGGATACAAATCTTTGTTAAAAGTCAGTTGCCACCTAGCAATAATGGTGGATTTATGTGATTGAATTAGGCGTGCCAAATACTGAACTTTGTGACGCAAGGACTGCAAACGGCAAACTCCCTCCCTTAACGAATCATCATCTTCAGCTAATTCGGCCATTCCGAAAAACAAGGGGTGAAACTGAACTAGATTCAAAAGGGCGTAAAGAAGACATTCCAGCGTAAATGCAGCAGCCAAAACTTTGTCACCGAGAGTAGAAACACCACTGCTATGGAAGAACTGGTTTGGGTCAGAAGGTACATCGGGCAATACTTCCATTAGGTAATTATATAAAGGCAATAACATTTTCTGCGAATCTTGCAGCGAACTCGACTTAAAGGATTCGCCAGGATGGAGACAAAGTTTCGCCACGAGATGCAGAATATTCCTTTGATCAAGGGGGTTCTTCATAAGCGAAATATTCGGCACAACTTTTGTGAGAACATATTTCAGAAATGAACCCGCTGAAGCATTTTTCTACTAAAAATGCAACGACAAATTCTACCATGCATACCGATAAGAAGCGGGCCACTTGATTCCCACCTTCTCTAACGTGAGCAATGCAGGATGCATCCAAGGGATTAAAATCAGGCACTGCTTGAATAACTTGATCTGTTAACACATTTACTAGTTTTTGCCGTTCTTGTAGAGAAGATATACATTTCAAAGAAGAGATAATCGGAATAACTTGAATTAATTTGATTTCCGGAACGTCTCGAAGTACTTTAATTGCGTATTCAACCAGGAATTCCTCTAATTCAGTGTTTACTCTGCTTTCAGGAAGCAGTTTATAGTTTTGAGATACGAATTTAATTAAATTTTCCTTTGTTAATTTGGAATTACCCGAAATTATTTGGTTGAAGATGCCAACCAAGGTATTCTTTGGGTCAGTTTCAAGCAAACTGAAAAGCACCAAACTAATTACATGCGCCTCCTACAAAGAGAATAACTAAGAAAGAGAGTTACCGAAGAATCGTCGGTAGCAAGCATTTGGCTCAAAATATCGGACACTTGTGGAACGTAGACAGGTGCAGATTTACAAATTTGTTGGAGGTCGTGAACAGCCTGTTTACGAATGGCAGGATCATTGTCATCACAAAGATCCAAAAGACAATTAAAACTTTTCTCTTGTTCACTTTTAAAATGTTTGAAAAACCTTCCAATAAGTTGAGATGCAAGTTTTTTTTCCCTGTCCCCAAATTTACAGCCATACAGTATGTGGCGAAAAGCTTCGAGTTTCTACAGATATCATAGCAAAATTAAAACAGACCTGTGTGTCAGATG